CATGCTGTGCACTCCCTTTGTGCAAAGTTTAGCGAGTGCAGCTCCCTACCGAGTTCCATTATTTGGAAGAAAGGATGTCTTTGTCATATTAGTGCTGATTTATTAACTGTTCAGATTTTCACCCAGATATAACGCGTTTAGTATATTTAGCAGTTAGTAAAATAAACAAGTCAACAAAAAATTATAAGGTTACCATTAGACGTTTATTTTCACGATATGACTCCATATGTTGGTTATTAATGGATTCAGTAACCATAATTAGGTACAAAAATAACCCTAAAGACACTTGTTTAGTGCAAAGAGTTGCACAGTTGTCTATATACTTACTGACCTAAGTGCTATATAACGAATAAAATCCTAAATATCTTAAATAGAACATATTGTTTATCGGTTTCCAATTTTAAATAAATTTTATGTGCTGCAAAAAAGTTCAATCCCAGATACTCTTTCAGATGTCTTACCACTATCGGTTCGACCTTTCTTCTCCCTATCATTTACTAACGTAATTTATGAGGTTCCAGACCTAGTTGAGGCGGCATGTGGTGGCAATAAAGACTCTTAATTGTCTCTCCCTATTGACAGTTCGGTTACGGAATATTAACAATTTTATGCCTACTACAAAGGCTGCTTTTCCTTCAACTCATACAGCTGCAGGAGGTTAAATGACAAAGTAACCTAGAGATCTGACACCATCTGCTATAAATTCCCGCTTCCTCCAAGCTTGCTCTTACATTGTAGCTTGAAAGGGCCTTCAGAGTATATCTATGCTGCCCACTTTCTTCTATTAATTTCTGGTGGATCGGTAAGCCCACTCATTCATAAATAATGTAGCCTACTGGCAGCCCATTCCCACTCCCCAAACCTGAGTATGGCAACATGCTCAATTAATTGACTATTGACAGCTGAACACAAACTCTGGTCAATGATGCAAAAGACTGAAACGAAATATAGACATAATTGCAGTCAATAGCCCGTCAGTAAGTTTTGCCACAGCTCTCTGTACCCCAGAGTCAATAAATTAAAACTGAATTACATAGAAAGAGACATAATAATACAACAAAAGGGTAGAACTGTACTAAATCATAAATTCTCAAAGGAAGTTGTTTTTCATTCATTGGTCACTATACTCTCAGAAAAAAATGGTAAAAAATTGTACCTTTGCTTGTCAATGCTACTGTACCCTTGTAGTTGAACCTTTTAAAGGTACAGAAATGGACTCTGAGGAACATCCCAAAGGTACAACCGGCATTAATGTACCATCAATGGTACAGAAATGTTCCTCAGAGTCCATTTCTGTACCTTAAAAGGTATATTTAACTACAGCTAAGGGTAGAATTGGCAGATCCTTGAGGGTATATCCCCAGCGACAAGCAAAGGTACAAAATACCCCCCTTTTTTCTGAGAGTGTATGAGTTACTTTTAATGATTTATAAGGACAGTGACATCCCGTGTACTCATCCTGCTTCACACACATCTGAGGGTTTTATTAGACACATATAGAAGTACCACTTGCCTTGGAAACTATGAAGAGACTCCAGGCTAAAATATCATAATAAATTATTAAAGCTGTGTAATTAGAGTAAACTATAATCCGATATATGGTTCGTTTACAGGCCCCAGTTGTGCCTAAGGGTGCATAGCAGCCTGAAATTTATAATGTGCCCCCTCAGGTGGAAGTCAGTCAGTTCATGACTGTGACATGGTTAGCGAATTTGTTATGGACCCAACGCTGTTGGTTTATATAAATATTAACAATACCTAATTAACATTTTTATTGATAATGTTGAAGCATTAATGCCAATGTTTATGATGGGATGGGATATCAGTTGATCAGAGGGGAGAATTTACACATACATAATTAAAGGGAGAGGGAATTTAAAAAGACCAATTGCATAACAATTAGAGTGAATACTGTCTTTCCATAATCCATTGGTTGTACTTGTGGACAAATATTCTGAAATTGAATACGTACCTCAGACTATTAAAAAGCTCAAAACTAGGTAGGCCTATTTTTTCTGACCCCAAAATGATCACCAGATCACAAGTACTTTGCTCCGTCAGTCCCATATATTTGCCACTATATACAGAATATAAAAGTCTGCCTTTCATCATTGTGTATTGCACTTGAGACATTAGATTTCACGCATCCATGCAAGTTAGGCAATTATGCATGTGAATGTGTGATGAGCCACAAATTGGGCAATGGGTGAAGGTATTAAATAGTCCTGTGAAGGAAAAAATCCTAGACAATAAAGAGATTTAACTCATCATTGGAAAATCATTAGAAATCTGGAGGGGTGGGCATCACAGATTGCAGGAACAAAGCACTAAATGCTGCCATTTTGGATAATGCAGTAAATGAAGTGGAAGAGAGGAGGGTGTGGTTTGGTAGACATTTCTTAAATACGTTAAGTTATTTCCTCCTTCACGCTGGTCTTAAGTTGTATTCATGAGTTGTTAACTACTTTCCAATGTTATTCCCTCTCGTTGGTTTTATTTCCACGCCCTGTTTCTTTTCTGGGTACCAGATGGCTGAGCATTCTCCAGAATCTTTTGTAGATATTCACACGGTTATACGAAGTCTGTATAATCCTAGCAGACATCTAGCAACAAAAATCTTTGCCTAAATGAATTAGTAACGCATCAAACTCACATAGATAAAAAGTATGCTAGGTGGTAAGTGTGTTTATATGTCACTACGAACGAGGGAATTGTATTTCATCTGTAAATTTATTTAAAAAACATTACAGAACAATACAGCCCAGATTCATCTGTGCAAGTAAATATAAATTTCGAAAACGCTTAGTTTTCACAAAACAGTAACAGTGATTTGAATGCTTTTTCGGAGGCTCACAAATACGTGTTAATTTAATAGCTGTTTGCTTCAAGCTTGCCAAGTAACCTAATCAGTTCAAATTCTGCTAATTGAGTATTAACTGTTTTAAGGAGTAATTAGTTGATGGTGTGATGGCACGCGAGTTAAGTATGCAAAGGTTATTGGGGTCGCGACAGATTCAGAAAACAATGCAAATGTAATCTTAATGGCAAATCAATTCAAGGATCGATGGTTTAATCCTCTTTGCACATTGCTTATCTACGTAACAAAGAGCCAAATCACCTCTTTATCATACCAAAAGGTCTAAGCCTACTCCGGAGACCGACGCATATGAGCAACTTAGGCGACAACCGACTGGCAATCATGAGAACAAATGTAGCCACAATGGCCGGCTATCTCCATTTTAAAGGGGAAAAATGCAAATATACTTTGGGAATAAAAGATGGATTTTCTTGGCTCGGTCTAATTCTGCCATTGTAGAATTCGCGTGCAGGCGACAAGGCTAGCACACCGATCACACCAAAGAATAGATGTATGCCGAACTTATAATGGCATTTAACAAAAGACAGCTCAGTCGGGTAAGTCTGCCTGGCATTTTAAAGAGATTTTAGAGGAACGGAATCTCCCACACGCAAAATAATCCATGCAGCAGCTAGTGATTCAACACCGCATAATTTCTTTCCGATTACAGTGTGTTCAGGCAGGAGTTTAAACTGCAAAGCAAATGTAAACCCTCACCACATTTCGAGTTTGCAGGCGCATTCGCGGGCACTGTGATTTGTTTTCCCCAAATCTTAGCCGGAACCAAATAAGCGTTAATTCTACTAAAAACATGAGGGCAGGTGTTTTGCACATTAGAATATAAATCTCCGTCGGAAGCATTCTCAACAAATATGACGTGAAATTTAGGTCAAATGCTGTATTCATTCTGAGGATCATATCAATGAATGGTGCACTTCGCAACATTTTTCCAATGTACGTTTATTTAAGTTGCTCCATTAGTTATTAGCCTTATCTTTTCTTGAAATTGGCAGATGGTTCTATTGCCTGTGGTTATTGGCAACTAATATTTTGTCCTTCTGCCGGCTAGCAAGAGGGGTCTCAAGGAAACAAAAAGACAAAATCCCCTAAATAGCCGTGACGAGCTTGGTTGGTCTCTAAATGTATTTTAATACGAGTCCGAAGTCCTGTACAATTCAACACCCATCATCGTTTAGTGAAAGAATTATGGCAGTGATTGGGGTTGAATGAGGCGGCACAAAAGATACATGTGGCGCTTGCTCATTATGTCCAACTTAGGCGCACCCCTCTGTGGAAACTGTTAGAAATTCCTCTCCCAATAGGCTGCATTGCCAGAATAATACAGACGTTGAAACCTCCAATGGGATACCCCACTATGCTATTATATCTCTCTTGCTAACGAGGGGCTCATAGCCTTTGATATAATCACTCTATAGAAATCCGTCCAAATCTCTGGTGCTTAATATAAATCCTATTTAAACGGGATTTCTTCACCTGCTTAGCGGGCAAGGTTAGAAAAAAAGATGCACAAGCAGTGACATGCATGTTAAAACCCCACAACAACAGGCATTTCAATAGTATACTGCAGCCTGATCACACGAGATCGTGTGAGTAAAACATTCATGTACAATTTCAATAAAAGTCATTTCAAGCAGAATCAGCTTTGCGGTTTCATCGCCAAGAACTTGAGTTCACACACAAAAACGAAGCACAATCGGTATTAAGAAAAACTGAAGATTTGTAAAAACCATCGCACCAGCATTTCAACCATATGTCACAACTTGCTATTATTTCAAGAATACATACATTTTTTTCCATTTTTAACAGCTTAGTATCACAGTCCCTGTTATTCAATGGCATGAGCTACGACGTCTCACTTTCATGGCTCAGATTATGTTTGCGTTGCCAAATTTAAAAAGCAGGGGAAATTTTAAGTAATTGTAAAATGTATACAAAACCTATTTTAATTCCATTTCTCTGCTAAATTCTTCCTTCACTAAAGGAATTTCCAAATAGGCTTAGAGTCCTTTTAAAAGTACCATTTTTAATTTCAAAGGGGGATTGGTCACACTTCGTCTCATTTGCATGTGGCGCCCTATAAACCGCTCCAGCGTTGCAGTTTCTGGAGTTCGAAGGAAGACTTCGTAGGCGCTGCATCGTAGTGCCTGGGTGGTGCACTGAGACCATTTCACACTGCCAAATGCTTTGTTTTATTTAACAGCTAAGTTATTTAGATTAGTAAACCTATATATTCGGACACTATGGCTTCGATAAGGACTGAGAACATTGTATTTTTTTGCCACAGTTGGTTATTCGGATTAATGTTTCTCCACATTTTGACCCTCTTACCCGCTGCTTCTGAAGGAAAAACGATGAAATACCAAACGTATGAAGAAGACAGCCCTGGTACCGTGATCGGCAGCCTTGCCAAGGATATGTCATTAAGTCCTCTTAATAGCAAGACAAATTTCAAGATGATGAAGCAGTTCAACTCTTCTTTCATCAGACTCAGAGAAAGCGACGGACAGCTTACTATCGGGGAACGAATCGATAGAGAGAAAATGTGCAAGCACACTCTTCAGTGTCTCATCGCGTTCGACGTTATCAGTTTTTCCAAAGAGCAATTCAAATTGGTTCACGTTGAGGTGGAAATAAAAGATATCAATGACAACCCTCCAGGATTCCCTAACAAGGAATCCACTGTGGAAATTTTTGAAAATACAGCAGTGGGCTCCCGAATTCCTCTGGATGTTGCAGTAGACGCGGATGTGGGCTCAAACTACATCCAAAGCTACCAAATTTCAGTAAACAGTCATTTCACCATTGATGTGCTGAACAGAGCCGATGGGGTTAAATATGCGGAGTTGGTGCTAATGAAACCGCTAGACAGGGAGACTCAGTCATCGTATGTTCTTGAGCTTGTTGCTACTGACGGAGGAAATCCATCCAGATCTGGCACGACTAAGATTCACATAAAGGTTAAAGACTACAATGACAATAGCCCCATCTTCGATCAGAATATTTTCTCAGTTGATTTATTTGAGGACGCACCCGTTGGGTTTCTCCTGCTGGATTTAAACGCAATCGATCCAGACGAGGGTTTAAACGGAGAAGTTGTATACGGGTTCGGTAATCAGGTGCCTGCAGAAATCCGACAACTTTTCAAAGTGGACCGAAAAACCGGACGCCTAACTCTTGAAAGCCAGATAGACTTCGAAGCAAAGAAAACGTATGAATTAGACGTCCAGGCGCATGACTTGGGTCCCAACCCAATCCCTTCAATGTGCAAAGTAATTATTCATGTTCAAGACGTTAATGATAATGCCCCTGAAATTAGCATTACTCCTATGACTTCTATTACAGCGGGGATCGCATACATTACTGAGGCTGCAGCCAAAGACAGCTTTGTCGCTCTCATCAGCACCTCGGACAGCGACTCCGGCGCAAACGGGGAAGTCAGATGCACTTTGTACGGGCACGACCACTTCAAACTTCAGCAGGCTTACGAGGATAGCTACATGATCGTCACCACGGCACCACTGGACAGAGAAAAGATAGCAGAATACAATTTAACCGTCGTGGCCGAAGATTTGGGATCTCCTCCATTTAAAACAATAACGCAATATACAATTAGGCTTAGCGACGAGAACGACAACGCCCCTCTTTTCAGCAAATCAGTGTATGAAGTTTCTGTCGTGGAAAATAACGCTCCGGGTGCATATATCACAACTGTTGTAGCAAGGGATCCTGATATAGGGAATAATGGAAAAGTAATATATAGGCTTTCGGATACTCATATCATGGGCTCCCATGTATCAACATTTGTGTCCCTCGATCCTGCTACGGGTTCAATTTATGCACTGAGAAGTTTTAATTACGAAGTAATGAAACAGTTGGAGTTTCGAGTCCAAGCTAGCGACGGGGGGTCTCCACAGCTTCACGGCAGCGCTGTCATCAGCCTAAAAATAGTCGATCAGAATGACAACGCTCCTGCCATCACACAGCCCGCTCTCCATAATGGATCTGCTGAGGTCCTTCTACCAAAGGATGCGCCTTCCGGTTATATCATCACCCAGATAAAAGCGATTGATGCCGACGAGGGCGCAAATGGGGATCTCTCCTACAAAATTATCAAAGGGGACAATGTGATGTTTTCCATCAACAAAGCCACGGGGGATATCCATCTGAATCGTGAATTGAACTTTGATGTGAGCGAAAGCTTGAAGGTCTTAGTCACCGTCAATGATAATGGTAGACCTTCACTGACTTGCACGGCGACTATCTTCTTCACTGTTGTCGCAGGGGCGCCCCCCAGCGACCGTACCATGGTAAAGCAGAAAAACGAAGACTCAATCCAGTGGGACGCGTCGACGGTAATCATTGCAGTTCTAGCAGGAAGCTGCTCGTTGCTTTTGCTGGCAATTGTCTTGATTGCAACCACATGTAATCGACACAAGCAGGATAAGAACAGCGGCGGATTCGAGGACAAATTGGACATGGGACACATGGAGAATGGGAAGAGCAGCCATACCCTGATGTCCAGCCACAGTGGCGATATGTTTAGTGTTACACCATATTCCAAGCAATCCTTCACCAATCTCCCCAAAACAGACAGCGAGATCTGCTCAAGCTCAGAAGATGGCAGTGAAGCTACGTGTGTGTATGAGTCTGAAAACATAATCCGAGGAGCTAAATTGGAGGTTAGTGATAATTAATTATTATTTGCTTATATATTTGTATTCAATGTCATTGTTTAATGTTTTCCATTGTTGTCTATAATGTAAACTTAAGCTGTATTGGCTCATGTTTCTCCAGGGCTATTCTACATTGCCTGGCTATGGCAAAGAAGCTGTCAGACCAATCACAATATGGAAAGGTAACTCTTACACCACCATCTCAGCGAGGGATCCTCAGTTTAGTGGCAAGGATAGCGGCAAAGGCGATAGCGACTTCAATGATAGCGACTCTGACATGAGTGGAGATGGCATCAAAAAAGACTTCCAACATGGTGAGTTTTGAATAATTTTTATTTATATAGGCTACAATTCTAAATTTATTTACACAACAAATATTCATCTCAGGTGCTAGATATGGTACAGAAAAATTAGCATATTGTTTAAGTTGTTTTTTTTGCTGTACATAGGCCTATAATGTCACATGCCATGTGTTAACAGTGGAGCATCCGCTCTCTCTTGTCAGGTTTGTGGGCGTGTACAACGGAGTGCAAAATACTCGGTCATTCGGACAGATGCTGGAGTCCATCGGCAATCAGGAACAATCCCAGCATGCCCCAGGGGCAGCATCTCTCCACGTTTGCAAAGACGGCCTCACTGCCGAGAAACACGCTCCGTAGAGACACCTATTTCCATGCGCATATCCCTAAGACTATTGGCTTGCAGAGCGTGTATGAAAAGGTCCTGCACACCGAGTTTGATTATGTGCTCAGCTCTCCATCAAGACCTGGCAGCGCTGAAGAATCCAGTGAAGTCACCATCCCAGCCTACGTGCCTCCAGATCCTCACAAATAGAAAATAAAGCTTTAGAAATGGTGACATTAATCAAAAACTGTGGAAGTGAGAGCCCACTGGGCTTCTAGTTATTTAATCATTGGCTTTGTAAGGGAAAATATGATATTTGTGTATTTACATTTTAAATGTCAGTGTAAGTTGATTGTAATGTCACTTGTATGACTTTGTCTAAATACTATGTATATTATGCAATATTTTATACGCACAGAATATATTTTTATAAAGATATGTAAACTTAATATTATTGATTTTCATGGCATGCTTACTACTTAAAAGAGGCCTGCAGTCATGATGACACTTGGGTCTTTGAGGCCGTAAACGATCTGTATCAAGTTGATAACAATGTATTTAATTATTTGAATGCAAATGTTACTGTGTTTGTTTTATCACAATATCTTTTAAATAAACGTTAAAATGTTTGATTGCGTATATATATGTATATATATATATATATAGCGGTTTAACATCTGGTTAAGGATCCAGTTCACAAGTTAACCGCAACAGGAGCAGTCGTCCACCACAGCCGCCCCACCTCCAGATGGCTGCGGTGTATCCTCACCTGCAACCGCAGTCAGTCCATCTTCATCTATCCAATTCAAGCTCACTCTTCCTTTTTCTTGGGTTTGGTTGCGCTCCCTGGTTGGTCTTGTCAGTCTGGGATGCTATAGGCCTAGAACTTTTGGATCAGTTCCAGTTTAGTTGCTGCTTGCCTGGCGCTGCTTTTCTACAGCTTCCACACGTACCCCACCCATTTTTTTAGTCGACACGTGTAGCCCCGTTTCGGCTGTCCCGGTACAGCAGTGAGTCGACGTGTAGCCGCGTGTCGGCTGTCCCGGTACGGCAGTGAGTCGACGTGTAGCCGCGTGTCGGCTGTCCCGGTTCGGCAGTGAGTGCTCGGAGACCAGCCTGAGGAAAAGTGTCATGGGCCTAGAGGCCTTGGCATCGTCAGTGTCCCTTGTGCCTTATCTGTGTCATACGGGATCTTTGTATTTCCTGAATACACATGCGATCATGGCTACTAACCTGAATTTGAACTTATTTCCCCGAATTTAAATATGTTAACCTGAACTTGTAAAAATTATTATGTACTGTGTAGTTATTGTCTGTATCTACTGTGTTATTGTTATTGCCTACTACTAAACATAAATTTGTAAGCCTTCAATCATACTTCATACTGATTGAGACAAACAAGCATAGTTTAACCTAGAAAAGCAGGGCATTTCAAGTTGTGGGGTCAGATAAAATTAAAAAATGCCTACACTTTCCTCACGGATGCTTCCAAATAACTAGTGAAAGTCCATTAATTAAACACCAACCGTGTATGCACCCAAATAACATGTAGCCTAGTTAATGCTAAACTGCTGTTTATTTTACTATTATTGGCACTGGGTATCAAGTAAAAGTTTTCCTAGTGAAACCAGGTTAAAATCAGTTTTACCAATGGGTGTCTGGAGAGTCTGCATTAATCACCATGTGTTAATTTTGTAATGTTTTGGTAATCGGGCTAATCCAAACCATTCAATCAGGTTACGTCACTGAGCCATGCAGGCCTGTCACTCAATGATAATGCGTACCAGGAAAATAAATATCAGCAAAATCACCATGCATCTATAAATATATAATATACCTACCTGGGTGTTCATTTTAGGGGGTGACAGGAGTGAACTATAGGAATAAGAAATGCCAAAACATTTAGGCCTAGCTATCATTGTGATGCATTTTAATGTTTGACAACTGAATATCCTGCATCTTTTCTTTATTATGCGAGACTGAGAAGTTGTTAACTGGTAATGCAGGTAAGTCCAGCATGTTGAATTGAGTCAGACACTGATAATGAAAGGTTTTGCTATTCTCCTTGCTATGTTAAATGTCCCGTTCTTAAAAAAAAAATGTTTTGAGTTACGGCTTTGTCCTTTCTCTCAAAGACATATACTTCATGCATCCGTGAAAGTGTGGCTAAGTATTCGGATGACTTGCCTAACAAGCCCTGTGCTGTCTGGGACAGGCTCCAGCATCCCTGTGAACACAGACAAGCCTGTCCAGAATAAGCTGTTGGAGAGAGGATAAATGGATGACTGTGGTAAGCAGTTTTTCTTGGCCTTTTAAATGCATTTTTTTTCTGGGCATGGTAGGGTAGTTACAAGATGTTGTGAATTAGGTGTCATTCTGAGTAAGTAGAAATCCAATAGTCTTACCTTTTTTTTTTTCTAAGATTAGTCTTGTGGCTGTTTCATCTCATACATAGGCTTTAGTGTAAGCGGTGTTTTGTTTTGCTTTTCTTTTCTAAATATGTGGTTTGCCATTTTGCATGAATGCCCTTTGTGTATTAGTAGCAAAAACCCTGATTAGGATGGAAGTTTACTTGCGCACTTGCTGACAGGATGGGACTCTCAGTCTGTCTGCATTGGAGGGTATACCATGGAGATCAAAGAGGCCAGTATTCAACTCACCTATGGATTTTGCTGAGGTAGTATGTGAAGTCTTTGGTCCATATCTAAAGTAGGTTTCAAAATCCGGAATAGCCGGAACCAGCAATTCTTCCACATTATAAACCAGATCTGCAGGCCATATTGTGTGTTGCAGCAGCATGATGCTAAGGCTTAGTGTTGTTGATTTGTAGGATTTGGCTCCTGATTACATGAGCCTACTGCTAACATTCCCTGTCCATTTTTTAGGTGTTTTGAATTTATGGGAATTTTCTGTGATGCTTTCCAGGGCAATGATGCAGACTGCTGTCTGGGTCCCTCTTACTCCTGGGATTTTGGGAAGAAAGCAGAGCATGATGGCGCATGCAGGGCTAAGGCCGGATGTGCTGAAGGTGGATGGCAACAGTGCTGCCCCCTGAGCTGCTACTCTGCTTGAGGATGTTATTGCTGTCTAATCAAATAAGGACAACAGATTTTAATTAACAGCACTGCAGCCTCCTGGATAAGCCTGATTAGTTTTACATTATCAACAGTGAACTGAACAGTGGCCAATATTGTGAGATGAGTGATTTTGGCATTTTTCAATAACATTATGTGCTCACTTGTAATAGGGGGGGGGGGCTTGTTTAAAAGGGAGATGCTACATAAAAACTCATCAAACCTCTAGAGTATGGTGATGCTGAGCAAGGGGTGTGTGGTTGGTGTAAAGTTACAAACAGAAAAAACATAGCAATTATTAATCTTTTGGAAAATAAACTCTTAAAACTTTGAATGACTTTCTTTTCTGGTGATATTTAATGCAGAGAGATTTGCAGTTTTAACATTGCCTTGCATAGGGTTTTTATTTCTGATTCTGCTTTTTTTAAGACGCCCCTAAAAATGAAGTTGGCTGTCAAACACACAGCTGCTGCTCTATATGTTCTATGCTCTAATGCTGCTAGTGGCCTTCGGTCTCATCTCATGCATAATAATCAGTGGCCCTAAACATCCTCCCACCTCCATTTTCCATCAGGACTGCTGTCAAAACAATTTCCGAATTAGCTGGGTGAGGCCAATTCACCGAGCAGCTGCGGCATTCATTTTGCAGAACGCTTTATTATAGTTATAACCAAGTCATTCCCAGGCAAATTCATCTCTGTGCTGATCATTTGAATAATTTATTCTTCAGTTTTGTAGAATGTTTTGCATGTCAATCCACATTTTTCCTTACAGTAGCTGGACCTAGTAGATTATTTATATGAAAGGGAGCTTTTAGCATTTTAATATATGTGACCCGGCAAAGTGTTTCAGCTGTTTATTGAATGACAGGTTATGCTGAAAGAGCAGACATTTTCACTAGGAGTAAAGAGAATGTATATTGTCTGACTTATTTGTATAGATTTTATGATTTTATGGCTTTATAGGCATAAATAGGTATGACTGAAAATGATGGGCTTCAAGTGTCTGTTCCGCCAGATCAAGCCAGCCAGCTCAGAATAGGACTTCCTTTGCCTGGCAGCACACCAGCCAATAAGACTTTTGCAGGCCATACAATCTGGAACCTCTGTGGAAACCTTCCCATTTCCATCACTTATGAAAAAGCTTCCGGCCTGCAGTCCAGTGGCAGCCTGAAGTCGGTACATAGGCAGAGAACATATGGTAGAGCCTTCGTGTTATTTTTTTCAAAATATTTACTGTTTACACTCCTGCCAAAAATGTACAAACATCATATTGTAATGCATTCATTCTTGGAATTTTCTTCTTTTGTTATGTAAATAAGTAATGTAAATACTGTAAAGAATAAATATAAAACTATTAACCATTGATAAAATAGACTGAAAGGCACATAAAAGGCTCTGCAGTGTGTTGTATCCTAAGCGGCGTTTCTTTGTTTTGCTTTTGTGGCACAGATGGAGAAGGGAAGAGGAGGGTAGTGATTCGGACAAAATGTCCGTCCAAACCCCAGAGGTGCGACACTGCGGCTGAGGAGAGGAACGCAGCCAGCGGCGGCAGTAGCAGCAGCAGGACAGCAGCGGGAGTGCTGTGGAAAACCAGGGGGCTCCAGAAGAGGAGGAGGAGGCGGCAGTGGCATGCAGCTGTGAAAAGCCATGTCACGCGGGAGTCGCAGCTCCAGGGTAGCTGTGCCAGTAAGTCCATGAACAAGCGAAGGGGTCTGTGTGAAAGCTTCAGAGCACCATGTGTGTGACGTGAGCTTCACAGCAGAGTAACATAAAAATGTGACCCATTAAACATGGGCAGTTTAATGCTAATACTTTTAAGTTGTTAAATGTAATGATATTTGTATCTATAAAATCAGTTTATCAAATGCGCAAAACTATGCATACAGCAGGAGATGTACTGTAGGCAATGAAAAGAGTCTTCATGTCTGTCCAATATAATCTGCAACGTTTCCAGCGTCTGTGACTAAACTCAGTCTCATGCAACCCCTGGAAATTCCACAGATTTGAAACTTTTTTTTTTTAATGCTAAATCATCTCTGTTCTCGTCAGAGATGCACAATCTCCCTTCAGCTCTAAATCTATTAGGATAAATCCCTTAGCAGGGTGACTGTGCAGTGGTCACTCGTAGATATGAGGCCTGGCAGTCGCAGGCCCCCTTAATCCCGCCCCCCCATTGTGTGCAGAGTCCCAGGGCCCTGCATCACAAAGGGGCCCCAGAAACAAATTGTGGTGTGATGGATTTCTCCGCTGCTCCCGCCATTGCAAGCACCTTTAAGACGTACAAGATGGTAATATACCGCCAAGATGTCTAAAACCCCATAACTAAATCTAGGATGCGAAGAAAGACTTTGGGGGAAAAAAAAACCTTTTGCAGTTAGCTAAACGTTAAGGGCAAATCCATTGGCTGTTTAATGGAATGGGGAAGAGGGGCTTAGATCACATTGATGCAGGCGAATGAATAAGCTTTAAGTGCCTTCATTGCCAAATTTTAAACTGCATAGTGTGAGAAAACTACAAAGGAAATAACTTAAAATGTACAAAATGTGCTATGATTACAGTACTACAGAAATAAAACCCAAAAAGGTTAAAATCTCAATGAGGCACTTTATTTTACAGAGATCTTGAGGGAGAACCTGGAGCCATAACCCTGGACTCCATGTTGAACTAAAGAGTTTTCTGCCTGAATTGCTGACACAACCGCATTTGCTGTCAAAGATCATGTGAGCCCCTAGCTAGCTATTGGCTGTGGTGTCTTGATTAGAGGCTGCTGGGAAGCTCACCATTTACTGCTGATGATGGGTGGAATGCATATTGTGTGTTCTGTGTGACCTCAAAGTAACTGCCAAGTAAAGTCCAAATTAATCATTGATTTTCGTTCTAACTGAACAGTAAACAATTGTAATTATTACTGTATTTATAATTTTCGGAAATGACGGTATGTTGAGCTGCTGCTCCTCTGCATCGAAAGGAGCAAGTTCAGGACAGTGGCAGTGGTGTTGGTAGGTGGGTAATAATTGTGCTCTATCACTTTGAAAATACACATTCCTGCTTTCACCTGTGAACTGTTACTTCATGCGAAATGTGGCTAATAAATTGTGTTACACTTTTTTTGAACAAAACAATTCCTTTGCAGTAACTATTGGAATTTTGCCCAAAAAACCAACACATATTGCACACATTAACGTGCACACACAAGTTGTAATAAGCAGAGAAAGAGTGTTGTCCAGTGAAATCTTTTGCTGGGCATGCCTTTGGCACAATTATGCCTGAAGAGTGTGGTTTTTGCAGAACTGCATTGTGGGGAAAACTCTGTTTAGCTCTGTATTCTTTGTGTTTGGGAGGAAGCTGTTAGATAATAGTCAGGGAACAAAAGACCTCTCACCATAAATGCTACATACTGTATAATTGCATATACACATTCCTCCTGTGACCGATATACATATATGACAGTTTGTAGGTGGGTATATTGTACAGATATCAGGGCAAGCTCAGGACACACTGGATGATGTGACTGGGGAGGAGGAGGTATGATTTTGCCTTGTTTACAACCCATTGTCCAACCTCACGGTTAAACCTGATCTCACCTAGAATTGCTTAATGAGTTTCCTTTACTCCTGAGAATCATGTAGGGTTTTGAAGTAAAAGAGGATTTAAAAAATTCTGTCAATATAAAGCAGGGTTCTTCAACTCTGGACCTCGATTCCAAATCCAGGCCGTGTTTTCAGTTCTCCCAGGTAGTTGTTTAATAATTACTGATTCTGATTGGTCAGAGGCTTCACACCTGACTGACAGGTAAAGGAAGGCTGGAAAACCAGCAGTGCTCGGACCTCGAGCACCGTGACTTGAATAACCCTGATATAAAGGAATGTTTCCTGATCCCAAGTTTCCTGCTACCCGTGATGGTACTCGTATAAAGAGAACACAATTCCTTCTCTGGTAAGTAGTAGCATTTGATTTTACCTGTTGTCTTCAGTGTAATTTATAGGTTAGGGTTATGGATTATGATGAATGATGCTTAACTGAGTTTCCTCTTATAGTATGTTTCAGGTGGCAGGGGCTACAACAGATTTGTAACCTCCTGAGACCCCACCCATTCATTTATGTCCATTGTAGTGGACATTTTATTTTTGCATCTATCTTTTCACTTATGTTAGGAAACATATTTATTCCTGTTGTACACTAAAGAGGACATGCTGTGAAATTTAAAAATAAAAATAAATGTGAAAAAATCTAAATTGTAAGTCTTATTTCCTCCAAAGACATATAACCTAAAATTGAAGGACACTTTTTCCCTTGGGTCTCAGGAGGATAAAGAGTAATCATATTGTCAGAATCACCCAGGCTGTTAATCCAAGGTAGTTTAGAGCTTTTCTGTCTACTTACATATTTTGCTTGGTTCCAGAAGGTCATGAGAATGAATGTTGTGGAATCGTATTACCAGTGAGCCCTAGAGCAAGGCCTGAAACTAGCTGACCCTGGGCTGTGATCTCAAGAGTTTGTTGATGTATGTTACCTTGACCTCTCCATATCTTGTCTCACCCAGCTAGTTTCCATGTATTTATTTCTCATGCATTTCTCCACACAAATGTGTCTTTCAGTCCTTAGTTTGCAATTTTGAAGAACAAAATTGATGTGAAGAAAGTCTAGAGACTTGGATTGCACACTGGAATCCATTCATGAAAAGCAATACTTCCACTCGCTGTTACTCATTTGGCATTGTCATGCAATGTTGTCTTTTAGACTTGTTTTGCATAGTTGATTAGTACGGTTAATTTTATTTCACAGAAATTATGGATATTATCCCAAGAATGTGGTCTAAGGTTGGTCCTTAACTCAGGAGAGCACATCTGGAGTTAATCCACACCTCATCATTCAGCTCAGGAAACTGATGAATTTTGAGTAGTTTGCTATTCATTGACATGTTTAGGCACTTTGTGGGAAGTCTATGTTTTGGGGAACAATTTACCCATAAGAATTCATTAATTTAGTTTTAATATGCTAATACACTTTTTGTTTGACCAATGTTTGGAAATTTTTATAAAGGGAAAGAGTGGGGTTACTCACTTATGCTATTCCTTATACTATTCCTGTGCTGGTCATGGGATTTGAACCAGTGACCATATTCTTGCAGGCACAGTGCCCTCTGTCCTGGTTAGGCTGTGCTTCTTTGGGGTTCTTAAATGCATTCATAAATATCCATTAATTAAAAACCCAGCCACAGGATTGGCCAGCTCATGTGCACAACATCCTCACCTATAGAGCCATACACTGCACCCATTGGATTATATA